ATGTATCTTTCCCGTCCACGGTCAATGTGATGTCATCTAGCAAAAGATATGATATTATTACAGATTCAATTAAATTTTGGTACAATTTTAACTATTTTTAAAGAAGCATATAATCTAAACCAGGTTATTCCTTCAATGTACAAATTACTATGCCGACACACCAAGGAAGGGTGATAACTAGGAAGATAACTATGACTAAAACATTTAAATAATTGTTATAATTTGTTCTAAATAGTCATGAATATGACATCACAATCATTAGCACATTGGCATAAGGCCGCATATGTTAATTTTGTACTAACGTGTTAATGTCATGTTAATATTATATTTAACACATAATGCCTATTCAGTAACTAAAGCTGACCTGACATATAAACTAATGTGCTAATGAACAAAATTCAAATTTTGTACTTAAATATTATCAAAATTTGAATTATATTCTAATTTAAAATGCATAATTTTAGATATGGTGAAGAATAGCTTTTGGCTTCTCTTCTGATGCCACAAGAGGGCGCGTCGAGCAAAATATTACTAATGCACGTTTATTCAAAGCATAAGAATGACTATCTGTGAAAAAAAGTGCATAATGTTTATAAACCAATTATAATTAATTAAGTTAGATAACAGCATCATGTATGTATGCATAGTTTAATACAAAGGGCCGAAAGCCAATCACACAGAGTACATTTTTCATTTAAAAACATTGCAGTGGGATGGGGGAAAAACCCGCCATAAAGTCTCAATATATGTTTTTTTCAAAGTTAAACTTGCTTTAATTTTACATGGCTTTCTAAACATGCGGCTCTTTTGTGCGAGATGTGAGTGCAACACTCTAGAAAATGCATGAAATATGTGTTCTGTGTGAACGGCTTGGTTTCAGTTTTGATGTAAACAAGATCTTCTCCGCATTTATGTTCTCTTTTTCCACAATATTTTTAATGAACAACGCAGCAGCACCTCATCTAGTGGCTTCAACTGGACAGGCTAAGAAAAACATTATAATGCAACGACATTTACATCGTCATCGCAACTCATGCGCCAATGATAAGGCTGCCTCCTTAACGCACAGCTAAAAAAATAATAATAATTGGAATTTTGAATATTTGTCGAATTTAAAATAAAAATCCGCATTCGAATGTGGATTTTTATTTTAAATTCGACGAATATTCGAAATTCACATTTTTTTTTGCATTTTATGAGTGAAAAGGAACAGTAAGAAAGGGAACTGTAACAAACACAGGCTGTTCAATTCTAAGAATCAGGATGAAAATGGTTATGAAAAACGAAATTCTGACCATTTGGGATGAAAATAAATAAAATAAATAAATAATATTCCACAAAACTGCAAGACACAGCATCTTTAAAGATATTAAAATGATTCATATGGATGTCTAAAAGTGTCTAAAGGATCCCCTCACCTCCGTGCATGCAGAAATCACAGTTGTACTTGTCCAGCGTCTCCAGCGTAGTAACATACGGTGCCCCCTCAACGATCTCATCCACCCACTTAGTGGCCCGTATCATTTTATAACGCTCGGCCTGCGTGAAGACCGGTGGCCCCTTGTGCTTGGCTATTTCCTCTGAACGTGAAAGAAAAGATATATGATCATTTTTTCAGTTTATATATTACAGTGTCTTTATGTGAAGGTCTGAAATTGTGAAGCATACCGTCTGTATGAACTCCTACTACGAGATAATCTCCCATCGCTTTGGCCTGTCGTAATTGGTTCGAGTGACCGTAGTGCACCATGTCATAGCTGTGGAGACACATGTGGACTTTAGATACAGGGTCAAGAAAACATGACGTCCGTTTAAAGAAACCGCACAGGTGATGTAATGAATAACTGCTTTTATAACAGTTAAATAAAAGGCTGTACACACAGCTGTAACTAGAGACGGGTGGGTTATCTAACCACCACGAGCCCATTCCCCTAGAAATATCATTAGCCGGGTCGATGGGATTACATGGGGATATAATCTTCAATTCCATTTCCCATGATCCTTTGCTGGGCACCACACTTCACACTACGTGTTATTTATAACTGCAGTTAATCCATCACTCATAATTGAAGGCTGAGGTTAAATGAAATGGAGGAATATATCCTTGTGAACTATTAGTGTAGGTATGAGAAACAGGTTATATGAGTTATAGAATTCCATCCTATAGCCTAATAGTTCTCAGAAATCACATGACCCCAAAACCTTTGAACCTGCACTGCAGTACGTTGGTATTTATTTGTATACTATTATAACATTAATTCATTTAAATTAGCATTTATTATATTTTTAATTTTAGTAATTGAGCTTTTGTCACTTTTAAAAATGTTTCTATAAAGTTTTAATCAATTTTTATTTCAGCTGTAGTTTTAGTATTCTTAAGAGTTTTCATCTAATATTAATTTGATGTTTTAATGTAATTGCTGAAAAAGACACACTTTCTAATGATGAAATATCAAATGTCAAACCTTTTTAATACACTAACAAAAAGTACCATGGTATTGGGTACTAGATTTTTTTGACAGATGTAAACTATGATAATACCATGATTTGGAGCATGCATAATGGTATTCTTTAAAATGCCATGCCGTACCATATAAATACTAAAATATAATAATCATTCAATTCCATGGAACCTATCAAAGTACCATAGTATAGCAGTCTGACTTCACTATACTGTGGTACTACTATGTTTTTGCACATGTACTGCGGTACTACCATGTTTTTTTTTTTTTTCAAATACAATGTAAAAACAGTGAATAAGGCAGCCGTTAAATATCATAGCATAGTATTAATTTTAGTACCATGATCTATTTCAAATTACCACAGTAATACGATGTGACGCTATAATCATACCATGGTGCAGATAAAATAACTTTTGTATCCCGAGGTTCTTCCAAGACTGTCATAGGACGACAAACATGGTACTTTCTGTTGGTAATTATAAAGTACCATGGTAAATATAAAAATACCATGGCAAAACCATCCCAGTGTAACTATACTACTTCTTTTGTTGAATTCTAACATTATAACATTCTTGCTGCTTTTATTTGCTGTAACAGTTGCACACTTTGAGCACATATGACAATTTGTGCACTCACCAGCCGTCACACCACACCCGGATCACCCGCTTCCTCTTCCCCGGGCTGAGGCTGGAGGAGCTCGGCTCTCCCTGGTCCTCCTCCTCCTCCTCCACCGCATGGCTTCCGTTCCTGATCATGTTTTGAACGCGTGTAAAGTCTCCGAACAGACGCTATAAACGGCTGGAACACTCCGTGTTGATATGAATGACACCGGCAGCGGCTCTACGTCCTCTAGAGAACGTGCGCAACGTTGATGACGCAACACGCAACAGAACGCGTCCTCACGATGCTCCGCCTCCTTAGGAAGTGACGCCGTGCGAGTGTCGCGGGATTTCCTTGCAACAAGTGCAAAGATATGATAAACTCCCATGAAAGAAAAAAGGAGTAGTTTTAGTAAATGTTTGAGTGTTTGCTATTTTGACATGAAAATGATTTTTTTCTCTTTTTATCGTCTTGTTCATATTCCTTAAAGAAATATCTCCGATTGCCTTTTTTTCTAATGAACAAATACACATATTTTTGAAAATATTAGAAAATAACGTGTCATGGTATAATAAACAAAAATAAGCAAAAGTAAATTAATAAAGTAAAAACAAAAATAAATTGTTTGTTGTTGCAAAAAAATAAATCCTGCTCTTTTCAGAAATATAACTATTATTAAAATGTAATAGAATTTCAGTACAGAATTTAAATTGCACCGTATATATTGAAGTTGTGGTAATTTATTTCAGCAATATTATATTTTATTGAATATTTAGTTAATCTTTCTTTCATTTCAAATGTTTCCTATCAATTGCAAAGAAAAAAATATTATATAGGCCTAGTTAATTTACTTCAGTAATAATATATATTTTCTTCAATCACTTGTTTCTTTCTTTCCTTCATTCCAGATGTTATTCTCTAATCAATTGCATATATATATATATATATATATATATATATATATATACATTGTTTTTTTGTATTTTTTTTGTTTTTTTATATTATTTTTTTATATTTATTTTCTTTAGATTTTATTTATTTTATTTGTTTTTTTTTCTGATCAATTGCAAAGAAAACATATTCTAAAGTTAATTCAGTAATAATATCTATTTTAAAAAATTATTTCTTTCTTTCTTTCATCTCAGATGTTTATCTCTGATCAATTGCAAAAAAATATATATATTTTTGAATATTTGAAAATACTTTTATATTTATTTTTAAAATATATTATGTCTTATATTTTTTCTGTTCAATTGTGGAGAAAAAAAAGATTTTTGATACTTCACAATAGGATTCAACTACTTAAACCAATATGAGCATAATTATGTCATAATAGTTGCCAAAGTTGGCAACATCTAAAAATTAAATGAAAATACCTGTTATTTATATTTTTTAAAAACATTAGAACATGTATTTTACTTACCGTATATTAAATATAGGAATCTTGCTTATTTCAGAAATATAACTATTGTTTTATTATAACTATAAATCCTAACATAAATATATAAATAACATCAATAAACCTGTCAGTTTTTCTTATGGTTTGCACATATAATAAACGGAATCTGCTAAAGCATTTATTGTTACAGACATCCTTTAGGTGGCGCTATAGGTACAACAACAGGCTCGGGGTGAAATATGAAAAAGTTTATTTTGCAGAGCAAGACACCATTTCTATGGAGCTTTGATACAGTGGTGGCACATGTAAAATTTCACTTTTTTACCTGAGTGTTTAGAGCATTCACCTGAGTTTGTTTTTATCGCACACATAGAAAATAGTTCAAAACTATAGAAAAATATTTCGGTTTCTCTCATCATAACTTACATGATGTTCTTTAACACTAAGGGAAAATAAATAACCACAGTGCTCAGAGGTTTTAAAAATAAAATAAAATAAAATGGCTTTTGATTTCAAGAGTTGTTTCCATTTCGCCTGTATGTGACATGGCTTTCATTCATTTTGATGATCGAATCCCCTTCAGGATCCAAATTTAAGCTCTTGCAGGGAAGCCCTCTGGTTCCTCAATGATTTCCACCACGTTTGCCACTAGAAAAGACAATAACCACATAAAACTTCCTTAAAATACACCCATATATATATATTTTTGTACTGATTAGCATTCATAATATTCATAAATCTTTAGCATATCTGTGTTGTTAGCCACTAGAGAGGGCTTTACCTTGTCCCTGATGCCTTAGAGTTCATCACCCATTGTAAATACTCCTTGGCAGCGATGCTGTCCAAGACCTTGTTGACGTCACTGGTGAAACTGCCATCTACATGCCTCCTGCGTGGCAAATTTGAGCCTCTGTTGTCTGCAACACTGCGCATATGCGATACACATCTTGTTAGCATGTGTACATGACACTTTTTCAAAGTTTAAACCCATTTTAGAAGCAGTGTGGCACAGTTTAGCTTTTAGCATTTAGCCTGTACGTTTGTGAGAAAGTTTGTAGTATTAGTTTTGTGATGTTTGGTTATAATGAGCATCTTTGCAGGATTTTGAAGTATTTGTCTGATTAGCACAGAAGCAGAAGACATTAGCAGAGAAAGATAACCAGAAGCACACAGCCTGGTTGCAGCGCTATTTATTAGCATTAGCATTTGGCAGTGAGGTTGGACAGGGTGCGTTAGAAAAGACAGATGTTGGGCAGGAGAAAGCGTGATGTAGCAGTCAGTTCACACTCGCTCTTTTTCTTTATTTGTATCTCTTTCACACTCTATAAGGCACTGAAGGTGGGACTAGAAGCACGGAGGCCTACTCTTGCTTGGGCTGTCCAGATTTTAGCCAGGCCACAAAGTTCTGGGCCGCCTGGTCCTGCAGGTAGGAGCTGACGTCGCTGGTGTAGGTTCCCTCAGCGTGACGTTTGGCCGAACCACTGGAGGGAAAAAAGAGAGTTTATGTGAGAAATAATTCATGTAATGTGGGAATTTGAGCTACTAAACTCTGTTAGCGTTAGGCCTTTAAATAAAATAATATATATACTATTTATAGTATTCTATACTATACTATACTGTAAAGTATGTATGTATGTATGTATGTATGTATGTATATATATATATATATATATATATATATATATATACATACATACAATTGGTTTGTGAGAAAGTTTGTAGTATTACTATTATGTGTGTGTGTGTGTGTGTGTGTGTGTGTGTGTGTGTGTGTGTGTGTATATATATATATATATATATTTTATATATATTTATTATTATATATTATATGTTTGTAT